TCTACAGTTTTTTGCCAAACAATCTTAGGGTTTATGTTTTTATCAAATTCTTATTTGTGATTCATGAAACCCGAAAACCGGTCCAGCCGGAACATATGCACTACAAAATGGAGTTAATCAAAATGTCTTCTGAAATAAATGACTTATTATTCAGAGGTCAAAAAAAAAAATTATGTTTCACAGTGTTAATTTTAATTATTCCGAAAAGTCATTATTATCACTAACAGTTATGATTACACTGAGTACTTTCGCACTAATATCTCAGTTTTTTCAAAAAATGGAGTTAGTCGATGTGTGCACTGAGCAGCTCATATAGTAAACTTATGATAGTTGTGGTTTTGATTATGTTTTTTATATATTATTAGAAGCAATCAGAATTTTACTAGTTCTATAAGCTGTTGTGATGACTTTTTAGCGACACGGCTTTATATATGGCAACCCAAACGATTGTCCTATCTCTATATGATGATTTATTATTATAATTTGTGTAACTGGTGATTTTTTACTATTGCGGCAATGCCTGGAAAGAGCTATTTTTACTTGGAATTAGGGAATGCAATACCGGTATACCGGTATAGCGAATTACCGGTAAACCGCCCGATTTTTCGGCGGTATTTTTACCGGTATTTACCTAAAAAATACCGATATTTTCGGTAATTTTACATAAGCGCTATTTGATACATAATACACTAAAGTTTAAATTTTTCGGAACAAATTTATCTATAAATCCCATAATCGCATAAATAGCTATATCTTCAAGTGATTCTATAGCATAAACAAATGTCAAATATTATATCAACTCGTCATTAAACTGAATATTTATTGCTTTACTAAGGGCTTCATATCGTGTTACAATAAATAGAATTGGACTGATAGATAATGAGTTTGTTTCATCTTATGTAAAAATGTAACGGTTTTTTAAGTGATATTTGTGCCAAAATATTTTATATCATACAGATTACCCCTGCGTAATCTTTATTTTTTTCTACCTTATACATAATAATTATGATAATTACTAAATATTTTTGCTTCTTATTACAATTATAAAATATTATTTTTCGAAAATGTTTCGAAGTTTGAAAATACTATAGACGTATCACATTGCCTTAAATAACAATACTCAACAATTATAGTAACTTATTATTTATCTCTACAAAGTATCCGATCTTAAATTAGTGTAGAATTTTTTTTTAATATTGGAGATTGTGCTAATTTAACACATCGGATACAGACAATACAGTTCATTATAGTAATGTAATATGATCTTTTATGAGTTTTTGATCTTTCTTACTCATAAGTTTGTTTTTGGTGAAAAGTACTCAATATACTCCATAGTGATAATGAATTAATTAAATTGGATATTATTTGTGTTGAATTATTATTTAAAAACATAAAGTTATTGTTTTATTTTAATGTTTTTATAGTTTAGTTGAATATAGATGTAGTTGTATATACATTTTTTTATATTTGTGCTAGTAACTTTCAATTTTGTTTACGTTTGTTTAAGATAATAAATATACCGGTAATTTACCGGTATTTCGGTTTTAAAATGAAAAATTATCGAAATACCGGTATTGAATTTTTTTATCGGTATTGCATTCCCTACTTGGAATCATATTGCTATCTTTATTTTCGAATAAACGCCGATGGATTTACTGCTTCAAATTAGGCTGTCCGAGGCGGATATTGAACCTGGAAGTTCCGACTGAAAGTCCGTAGCTCTAACTACTAATTCACGGCGGAGCCCTTTTTGTGCTTTTATTATTAAATCCCATATTTATTATTTATAGTAAAAATGTTTTATGATTTTGGTTACGCAAATGTCGTCGTAAGCTACCACAATTTGTTATCCGAAAGTGATATGTCATTGCTGGAACTTGATAATGCTGTTTTCCATTTAAAAATGCGAAATTACATATTAATGGTACAATGGTTAACGCAAAATTATTTTTGTGCAGTCTTTATAATATTTTCTGCACGCTGTGTATATTTAATTTTACATAAAATAAACAACTATTATATCTGGTTATTTTGAAAACTAAGAATGGTTTCTAATACATCTTCTAATCGATTTTATATGCTCATGATGTTTACTGATTGGCATGCGAAGAAGTCGGTCATTATTCTAGTGATTCTTTGTTATTCAATTTGTTATATTATTGGAGTTATTGGTAATAGTTCAATTAAGATTTGATTAAGTATGAGCTTAACAAAGAAGATTCATTTTCTACTGTCTAAAAATTGAAGATTGAAACTCAATGAATCATTTTCAAGTCAAAAAGTAACTTCTTCATTTCATGCTAAATCACAATAATAATGGTTATCCTGTGCAATTAACTTTTCTAGAACTGTTTGCATTTAAAATCAGCGTTTTTTACGTGCGACTTGTTTAATATAGATAGCATTACATTAGATTGAAATTGAGGTATTAAAAAAATGAAGCTTTAATATCGTGGGATAGTTTTGATCTTTCGCAAATGCATTGCATTATATTTAAAGTAACTAATACGTTGTACATCAAAAAGTTCGCTCACATAATTTATAAGTTAGGCTTCTTCATTAAAGTCAATTTTTATTAATAAATTTTGCTACGGCCAAAAATAAAGAGTTTAAGAAAAAAAAGATTATTTTAAAAGATTGTTAATATATTCATATTCATTATACATATATATATTTTCAATATACTTGATTAAATCGTTATTCTTAAAAATGGTCTATGTCCTATTATCATGGTATTGCTTACGTAAACAAAATACATTTTATTCATTAATAATAAAGAGCAATACTCGGTTAGTGTTTCAAGGAGAGCATTTTTACATGAAAAAACATTTGTTGACTTGTGTCAACTTCCTCATTTTGGAGAATAAATATGGCACAAAGAATATTATCATAATTTTAAATGAAGAACTAACGGTAACAATATAATACATTATAATTCAATAAATGTAATATTTAAAAATAAATTTTACCAAAGTATTAAATAGCTGATTGAACTAACAATTATATAATAGATATGTCAAATCTTATATCGAAATAATGTATTCAAAGTTTTCCATAATTAGTTACTATTGCTATTTACACGTTGAAAAAATGTATTTTCATGATTTTTCTCCATAATATATTTATTATATTTTCGGACTTAATTAATAATTGTTTTACAATAATTTACATTAATTATTTGAAAAGCTAATAGTAATAATAATAATATGGTTAGTAAACTATTATAAAAATAATTAGTAATAAAAAAAATGTTATGAAATTATTTCTTACTATAAACAAATTCTAATTAAACTTCATTTTATTGTCTATGAAATTTGAATGATGTCAACCAAAATTTAAAATTAAACATTTAATTATATTAGCTATAATGCTAATGATTGAAAAGCTCATAGCCTTCTAATGGACTTTATCTATCTACTTTCCTATAATTTTTAAAAAATATTTTTTTGTTCGTATTAATAGTAGTTGACATGAATTTAACAATAATTTAAAAATAATCTTTGTGCCCAGTTATATGACAAACTTCAGAAAAAAGTTAATTTATAATAAATAATTATGAAAATGGTTATTTTGCTTTATAACTCTACATGCGCAATACAACTAGGCACAACAAAGACAAATTTGTTCAAAAATATTAAGCTTTCAGATAATTTCAGTCAATATGTAACAGTATAATTATAATAATATATATTAATAATTAATCATTAAACTAATTAAGAATTGTTATATTATATAGCGATTTAATCAGAAATAAGCGAGCTTTTTTCCATTCTTCTAATATAATAGAAAATATATTTAATTGAAAATACGCGAATTTTAGCGAACGTTGAAAAATACAATAGATATACCAAAATCAAATGTCATACGTTACGTTATGCAAGAATATATTATTATTTTAACAATAATTCAATATAATTAATGTTTATTATATTTAAGTGGAATCATTACTGATTTGCATTTCCAATTAAATCGCTGTCAAATTGCCGATATCCATTGCACGTCGTGAAATAGTAAAAACAATCGCACACACGCAATTCTTACCTCAGCCTCTCATTGTTCTCGTTGGATACAGCCCTGACAATTCCATACATGTGTCAAAAACTAGAGCGATTTGATATACTTCAGTAAAACGCAGGTGAGCAAAAATAGTGTTCCCATATTCCTATTCTTGATTGTTATCTGATAAAGATTAGAGCAACTTTTACTGGCTTTGAACTCTTGAACGTAATCAAAACACCAAATTCGGCTTGCTAATTGTTAATTTGTATGTTGCTAATGGTGAAACTGTTTTGTACATCCAATGAAAAAATATTTTGTAGTTCGAAATATTAATATGCAGCATTTTATTAAATTTTATGTTCAATTAAAATGTGGTGTCGTCAAAACACACACACACACACACACACACACACACATATATATATATATATATATATATATATATATATATATATATATATATATATATATATATAGGTAGAAATAGGGCAACAAGTTCCAATTTGACTTTTAGCAATTATACTGCGAAAACCAAACTAACTAACATGGAAACAAATAAAACATATCAAACAAATAATCTATCTGAGTTCAGTAAAATTTCCATCATTGTAAAATTATGATTATTTCACTATTTTGTCACGTGGTCCTTCTTGCGTCATAAGCGAAAGGCAAAAGATCCACCATTTTATATTCAATTTAACAGAGGTTTTATGGAATAATAGTAACGGTATTTCATCAATACCATGCAGTTTTAATTAACTGTGTTAGGTTAAAAACAAAATTAAGAATCCAAATCGTAAATATGTATATTTAAACATAATAAACAAACCATTTTTTCAACTTTTACTACTACAATAAATTTTGCTTTGGTTAGGCATTTTTGTTTAATTTATCATAATCAGTTCATTGTTTCTTGAAATACAATCATTACAAATGAAGTGAATACAACTTTCGCTTGAAATACATATTTTATGGTAACATTTTTTATAAAGTTCGCTCTGGATACAACCTTCATATATAACTTTGTAAGAAGAATTAATCATTAGAGTTGGAATAACTATTAATTTATTTTTTTTTTGTAAAATATCTGTTATATATTTTTTACTAGTTTCTTATTGTTTACACCTCGCCAGTATGAAGGTTTAGGTGGTCCTTTTTACCTCAACCATATGTAAGCTGTTCTAGAGGTTATAAAAATAAAACTATTGAATCTAACTTAAAAAAAAACAATGCATATTATAAATCAATCAAATGAAGTATACTTGAACATTGTGTTCAGTTATCGTAAACTAAACAACTGTGTTCAAAACAGAAGGACTAACAAGGAAAAAAAGACTTTCTTTCCAATGTGGCAGTTTATCTCGTGATAGCGAAGTCGACAGATTTGAGGCAATATTTTTTCTCTACTTTCAAATATTCTTGTTAAATAATTGCAAAAACTTTAGTTTTTGAGATATTGGTGGTGGACCTTTTTACCCCGCTCTACTTTGTGTATAAATACATAAATAATCGATTCAAACTACATGAACATGAGTTATGTCTAGTTTACCCGTTACATATATTCAATATATATCATCAATATAAAATCAAGCTCGGCTTGTGGATCGATATGTATATTACCTTTTATATTCGCTGTTAGTTTATTGACATGTATATGGAAGTGTCATATTAGAACATTCTTTTAATGCTAATTCCTTCAAACAAATATGAATTGTGCTCTAGAATCGGTTTCTTGCTGCCTGAGGCAGGAGTCACTCGGCGGGACATCGGATGGCGTTAGACGTAACCATTTGCCGCGACAGGACGGTGTGGCCAAAGCGGCGAATCTCGTCGCCCTGCCAGGGGCGCCGTGGCCCTCGCATCGGACCCCCAGAGATCGGTGCAAAGCTTCGGCTTCGCAGCGGACGAGCACACGCTCACCTGAAAATTAAATGCAACTGGTAAATAATTAATGTGATTTGATAGAATTCAATACAATTACAATTTTATTTGTACTATCGGGTTGTATATGTCTTAAGCAAAATTACTCGATCATCCCAATTTTTAATATACTGTCACCCCTCTGATAACGCGTTACTCTGAATACTAGATATTATTATTTGACATACCCTAGAAAAAAAAAGAATGTGTGTATGTATGTGTGTGTATGCGTGTACCTGTATGTATGTATGGATACACTTTCTTGTCGACGATTTAGAGAGCACGGATCAACCCATTTCAATGATTAAAAAAACATTCGATTCCTATTCGATGGGGAGACATGCTGTTTAGTTTTCGGTAAAAGCAGGTCCAGCCGTTTGCAAAATACGGGACGGCAGTGCAAAACTAGAACATTTACTTGTATTGAAGAAATGAAGACATAATTAAATTTTTGGGATCCAAAAACAAAGTTCAAAAAAATGCTATTGGCGGTCCAAAATGATCATTAGACATATGCACATCAAATCATCAATTACAATAAATACAATATTTTTTCCTTTTCTATGGGTTCCGTATCATTTTCATAATGTTTAAGTTTTAATGTTTATTTAGTTCAAACAAATGTTTTCAAAACAAATGGTCCGAACCACTTGAATTAGTTTCAGAATATCAAGCAATTTCAAAATTTTCAAAAAGTTTTTTTTAAATATCAAAATTAATAAATAAATTAATCACGTGAGGTAAAGGGGAAGGGGGGTATAATAAAATACATGTCATGTATTTATTTTTTACCCTTTTTTTAAAAAAAATCTAAACATTTAAAAAAAAGCAAAAATTTTACAATTTGTTCTCGTAACAAAAAATACACTTGATGTATGGTGGGGGAGGGGGGTCCAAAAATGCTTAAAAAAACGATCTTATAATTAATAGACGTCACCTTAAATATTAAATTTGAAAGCTTTTAAAAATTTTATATTACAGTACGAGAAGTTTTAGTTCAATTTGCGATGCATCACTAGTTTTTATTAATTTTTTAATTCATTCAGTTTTATACATGCATATTAATATCTTAGTTCATCACAAAACTTTCGGCTTAGTTATTAGATATATAAACCTAAAAAAATAATTTCATTAAAAAATAAACAAAGATAAAACTTTGTATGAAAGAACTCTTAAAACAATAAAATAAATTTATTGTTTTTATTTATTATGAAATATAATTTATAACGAAAATTTTTTAAACAAAATTGCTCCTAATATAATAAATTAAAAATACACATGTGACCTTTATCTTCATTTTTCTTTCTTGCCTTCTCTTATTATCAATCGTGTTAGCATCAATAGAGCTAGAACATCGGCCATCATCAGCACGTAAAAAACACGCTCCCAGCCTCCTTGACTAACGACACCAGCCACAAGAGGCCCAACGGCTGCACCCAAGGACCCTGTTCCACCGATGATTGCAGTAACGGTGGCCAAAGCACGAGAATCTCCGTTGGTTTTAGAACCTAGTTCAGCACTGACTGATGTTGCAATTAGTGCACAAGGTCCGTTCACAAGAGCGCCGGCCAGTAGTAGCATTCCCATATTCATTGTCATATTCATAGCGCCCCAGCGTTCATAGATAAGCATAGCGGGCATTGCAAACATCAGCATACAGCCGCAAGTCAATGCAGATCGACCTGATAGGTCGGAGATAATTCCTGCCAGAATAGAACCAGCAATACCTCCAACGTCAAACAAAGTAGATAAATCAGCACTTTTCTTTGCTCCCATGGTGGTTGAACTTTGGATGTAATATGGAAGCCAGTATGAGAACGTGTAGCTCACTAGTTTTGAGCAAAACAGACTGAGTGAGTATTCAAGAACACCGGGAATAGCAAGTGCTCCCAAAAACTCAACAGCTTTCTCATCAGTGTTACCTACTCTTGCAGACTCATCTGTTTCATCCTCTTTCAACATTGGACACTCCTCCTGACGCCATTTACAATCGCTGTTATCAGAATCACTATTGCTTTCAGCGTCTACTGAATCATTGTCCAATTTCTGATACACATTCTTCTGATCGATTTCTATGTTAACGCTTGTCGGATCGTCTACCAGAAATAAAAAAATTAAAAAGCCGACCAGAGCAGCATGGCACCAGGTATTATAAATGATAAAGACCAATCGCCTTCAATGAAGCGAGCTGCTATTAATGTGCCCAAAATATTACCAACAGGCGCATGGGAATTCCAAATACCAAAGATAATTCCACGTTTGTTTTTATCACACCAACGTCCTACTGCGGCAACAACACTTGGAAACCCTGTAGATTGTGCTATTCCTGCAAAAACCTGCACAACTATGAAGTACCACAAATAATGTATCTTAAGCGTTCGTGCTAATCCAAACAAATAACAGAAGATCCCCGTAATAATCATTCCAAAGGACAGAAAATACCTTAAGGAAAATCTTTCTGCAACTAAGCCCGAGAAAAACATTGCGAATGCGTAGAAAAACGAAAAAGATGAATCCAGTACTCCAAACAGTGCTTTACTGTTGTCAGCTTCGAAAGGGGCCCACTCGCACCAGTGGGAATCATTAGCAACCTGATCAGGTGTGATACCAATGCCTGGCATGACGTTCGAACAGTTTCTGTGCAGCACATTCTTCACAACTGATATTGGTTTACGTGTCACATGGTAAGAGGCGTAACTTAAATATGTCAGTATTAATATACTGCATCTGTACCATAGTTTCTTGCGAATTATCATAGTGGAACAACATAATTCATATATTTTGTGTATCGCTCGGATACCGATCGGTATGTCCTCCTTCATTATTAAAATTTAACTTAGTGGAGTGGATCTCGTTAAGCTAAATCACCTCTAGAGTAACTCTCATCTCCGTTATATGTGCTGTAAACCAATGTGCTTCTACAATTGTAGGTTCAAAATCACTTCCATATGCCGCTGTAGCCGTTGTAGGTTTAGTGGTCAGGGGGAAAAGTTAAAGTATGCAGTTACATTAAACTGAATGCGAATATGTCATTGAGTTTATGAAAATAATGAAACGTCATTGAAATCAGGCTATTATATCCAGTGCCTATTATCTTAGAACAAAATCCTCGTTCAGAAGGAATACTTAGGGGTCCATTTGTAGTCGCAGATTTGGCGCTAGTGAGCCGATGAAAAAGTATTTTCAAATGTTTAAATGTTGGTTACTAGAAACTATTTTATACGTATTTTTGTGTCAGTTTACAAAATGGCGATTCTTGTTCGTTTGTGTTTTTATATTTGTTAATAAAGATTTCATTAGGAATTGATCTCAAATGCATAGCCCTTTGACAATTTGAATAAAACAGCTTCAAATTCATATGGAGGACATAATTACTACGTAGTGCATTGACACATTATATAATCATATTACACTTTAAGGAAAGAAGCCAGTTCTAGAAAATTATGTTAGAAATCAAGTATAAGCTTCTTCAAGAAAGACATATTACACAAATAGAAATCTGCCAATTGTTTATAATTGGATTACCACTTCATACGGATCTGAATACGGATCTAATAACTTGGGAGAAAATGAATTGCTTAAGAATGTCAATTTTTTCACGGGATGATTATTAGTTAATGAGAGTTAAGAATGACAGACGATGTAACGAACTAACACTATAATGCATTATTCACTAAATTTTACTAAATGTTTATATTAATAAGTAAAAAAAAGTGTATAACTTATTCCAGTAGATTAGATGTGATATCTATTATATATAAACCGGCAGTGTATTTATTGATTTATATTTCGATTCGATTGTATATTTATTATAATATAATATTATCCAGTATATTTGTTATTATATGTATTATTACAAAACATAATACGATTGTAATACCAAATTTAGTTTCAAATACCCGTGTACTAAAATTCATTAATTTTCATTTCAAATTTTGCGCCAATAATTTGAATGGCAAAAGCAGCGCCATCACGTCGAGCGGAGGATCCTTTAAATATTCTGAACGTAAAAATCGGGAAAGAGAAACTTCTATATGAACACGGGGTATTCGAATATTGTCTAGGATTATATCTTTATATGAACAAATTTTATGACTTCAAATAAGAATAACTGATTTTAAAATAGTATTAACTAATTAATTGGGAATGTAGATATGCATAAACAAATAACATATACTCATTTATTAATCATATCATAATATTAAAGAAAAATGTAATTGAAGTAATTCAAATTTTAAAATTTAAGCCCATAAATGTCAATTTATGGTATGTCGTGAATAATTAGAAATTAAAATAGTAATTATAATAGATGATGGATGGACGGAAAACCAAACTGCAAACGGATGGGCAAACAATTACGAGTAAGTTGCACTCGAAGTCCAATGATTATCGAATTACCAGTATAAATTACTACTATAAAATATCTAACCGAATCCGATAATGTCGGTACACTATAATCTGAAGCCATTCATACTTTTACTATCTCCAGACGTTCATTAAAATATTGCGTCTGTAATCCACCCGTAATAAACTTTCATGATTATGAGATCGCATCGTATTAAAACTTGAAAATGATAAAGACATCAGAGCTTCATCCAATCTGTTAACATGGCAAGGAACTAAATCCGATTTCAAAATAAGGCTGCGCACCCATGATACTGAGGAATCAGAATTTTACAGATTCCACTGAAAATGATTAACTAATTTAGAAGCTTAAAATAAAAGATATGTAGTAGAACCTGACTGCAGTTAATTTTTTGTATATGATACAAAATTATTTCAGAAAATATCTGTTTCACCAATTCATGCAAAATATAAATTCATATAACTTCAATGTTGATAACATTTGTTTTTAACTTCCCGCAGGGTAGGTTATAGAAATCGTAAAAAAATCGAAAATGAAAATTTTTATATATCTCTACGTTTCCGAGATTTCTGAACATTTTGGCACACCTTAAAAAATGTGTTTGTGTGGATACAAATTTTCGCCGACGATTTTG